GCTTGTTCCCAAATATGGTGACTGCACTGTCTCCACACGCGGTTTTAAAAAAAAGTGTCCCAGCTACGCAAATTGGACATTGAGGAGAGGTACCCGATTTTTTCCATGTTTTTCTTCGTGCCACTTCACCGCTAATAAGTCTACTCGCACGGCTGTATCTCTAGCGTACTACACTGCCGTGCTAAGAAAGAACGCCGTATGAACATTCGAGAGTTGCCAAATTTCTTTCGATAAAATGTTTATTTTTGAGAAAACTTGTGAATATTTTGCCTTGGAATTTTCAGGCACTTTACATCAAATTACGAACAAAATTATCTGAGAAATTGGCAGAAAAAAATTCAAAAGTTTTCCTGAAAATCAGTGATTTGCCAGAGGGAATTTGGCAACGCCTGAAGGCTTATACGGCGTTTTTCCTTAGCACGGCAGTACAGGTCCGCTGTTGCAATGCCCCACGCATTTTTCAATAATCCCCGGTACCATTATTAAAGTGGCTCTCCAGCACTTTTGAGAACGATAGGACAGCCGCACGATCGCTTAATAATTTCTGGATTTTAGTATATTGCTCGGTAACTTCCGAGCATCACGTCACAGTGCACGGAGAGAAATCTATGGCTTTATAAACCAAATATTGGTTCACTTGGAACACCACTGATATTCGTAAATAAACTAATGATTCCCGGTCGCTGTGAACCATACTGAGGTATCTCGTACCATAAAGGTATATGTGCTACTATTATATGTTTTCTTTACTACTATTAGTGGTGTTTCATATAAACCACTAATTTAATCCACTTAATCCTAGGTCCACTTAACCTAACGGAGCTGACCTGGAAGCAGCGGCCTGGACCAGGGTCCGGGCAGTTGGGCAGGGTTCGTCCCGTGGCCTGGATGTAGTCCCTGACATGGTTGGCGGCATGCTTGCAGCCCTTCTTCCGCCTGTAGTTTTTGGGCCTTTTATGCAATGGCACGTGATTCTCCTTGTACTTTCTGCACGGGTTCTTCACGTAGATAGAGATCCCGTCGACCGTGAGGGGGGAGTTGACGATGTCGTCGTTCGGTTCGTCCTCCTCCACTTCCTCGGGTTCTTTCGCCTTTTTGCGGAGTTTTTTCCTGCGGCCCTTGTCCGGTCTCACCACACCCACGCGGGTTCCTTCCGTCTTCTCGGGACGCCCGAAGGGCTTGAAACTGCCCCCACCGCTCTTTGGACTATTCGACTTTTTCTCCACCACATTCGGGTCGGACTGCGGGCTCCTCGTCGGGGCGGCACTGTCTGGCGCCGTCACATTCTCCGATGACACCCACTCGTCCTTCAACAAGCAGAATCTTAAGTTAGTAATGGCCGCCCAGGTTGGCCCAGTGCTCAGCGCGTCTGACTCTAGGTCAATAGGCCCCGGGTTCGAATCCCGGTTTTGCCGACAAAATGGAACCGACCAGTGGATCTGCAGGAACAGATTCCGCTCGGCCTTAATCCTTGAAAATTTGAAAGCCTGGACCGTGGATATGCACTAACCCTGACCCGATGCTCATTCAAGGTTGTAAAATCCTCAAATGGATTAAAGATCTCAAATAACTTAAAAAAGAAGAAGAAGAAGAAGAAGTCAGCAGAGGAGCTTTTTACATTTAATGTACTTTTAATATTTGGCGCTGATTCCAAATATGACTTTGGTTTTTTTCTTCCACTTGCCGATTGTCTAATATTCGGAAATTTACCTGAAAATCGGGCTTTGCCAAAAATAGCTCGATTTTTTTTTAATTTGCGTGCACAAGAGAAAAAAACCAAGGTCATTTTTGGTATTTCACGACCAAAAACAGCATAGGACAGCATGTGCCGCAATTTTTCCCCCACTGTTTCTAATAACGAGGTGTTTTCCTATCAAATGCCATAATCCGCTCGTAAACCACTATGTAAAACTGATCTGCTTGTTTTCGGTTTGGAATAACGGGCAAATGTATTTACCCAGGTGTCTCACGAAGCCATTTCCCCTTCCTTTTTGCTGTTGAGATCGAAAATGACCTTGTTCTTTTTCCACAACTACAAAATTTCCCGGAAAGTGGGTTTGTTGGCACCTAAAGGAGGCATTTTTTTTTTTTTTTTTTTTGAAAAACCGTTTATGACGGATAACAAACTACTGTCATTTTTGGCGTCAGCAGGAAAATGTCAGAGGTACTCGTTCAATCAGACGCAAAAGAAACGGATCAGTCGCTATTTAAGCCGAAAAACTTTGTTTTCTGAAACAGAGGGGAAAATTTGTTTGACATTCGATACCTACCTGTTTACGTGCCAGTATATTTTTTGCTGTCAAATCCTAAAATGATCTTAAATTTCTCTTCACAAGCACCATTGTTCAATCGAAGATTTCTGAAAAAGCGGATCTTTCCTCAGAACTGCCTGTTCCTTTCGGAAAATCTCAATTTTTTGGAAATTCGGTGTCGGTAAGAGGTGAAATCACTGTCATCGTCAGACTTAGCACGAAAAATTACATGAAAATTATCCATCAGATGCCCGGTACCATGGCTCGGACTGGCCATAAGGTCAATCTGCCATTGGCAGATACGCCCCTTTGGCGCGCCAAAAACGCGCCCCTCTGACAGATAGCAAAATAAGAAGAGAAAAAAAATTACGACTGAGTACATAATATGCGGAAAATTTCTTAAATGAACGGAAGAAGAGAGAGTTAGGTGTGAAGAGAGGTGCTTTTACGCATAGTGGTGAACTGAGGTCCAAGAACTACTTAACACTACTAAACACTTTCCTGTGAAATTGTCCCCTTTTTGTTGACATACAGACGCTTTATCATCCCCCTCCTTCATTCTCTATGTGATTCTGTGCTCGATTTTTAGACCTATGCACACTATATAGACCTCTTCAGAGACCTTTAAAAATATTTCTTCCTATTCAAAACGACTATTGATTTGGACATATCATAGCATATCCCGGACAAACTTAACCTTAATTTATTTCGAAATTCAAAAGTTAGAGACTTCTAAAGTGTAAATGCGATACAACTATTCTCGCAAGATGGATGTCCACATTGCATATGAAGAATGTAAGACGCGATGGCGTGAGTCGTGAACTCGCAATGCTCTGATCTAGTTTAAAGCAACATTACAAACAAGAAAAACGGAAACAAACACAACATGGAAATAGAGGGAGGGAAAGGACGCGCGTTAACGACGGCGCAGAGATACAACTATTCGTACTTGATGGACGTCCGTGCTGCATCTGAAAAATTGAAGGCGCGATGACGCGAAGCGTGAGTTCTCAACGCTCTGCTATATGCTGCCAATGAGGTGTCGCTCAGGTTTGGAAGAAAAGTTAAAAGAGAGGCCCGAATACGTCTTTCTTGTCGTCGGCTGTGTTTATACTCCTTCTTTCTTCTTTTTTCAGGTTCTTGCCTGATTCTTTTTTAGGATGGATTTTTAGACCCACGTCTTAAGCTCGTGTAAACCGCAGCACTGACACGGTTCTTATGGAAATAATGGTGCTTAGATGCGTCTAGTGGCTTTAATTTTTTTTGTTTTCTTTAATTTCAGAAGTCTGTCGGTCACTCAACGCTTTTACTCAACGATTAGATAAGATTTAGATTTCTTGATACGTTCAATTTTACAATTTTTACTTTATACGATTAATAAACTTTGAACCTGAAAATAGCGTAAACTTGTGCTGCTTTGCCAAAATTTTCTGAACCCCTCTCGACGAAGGGGATGCCCCATCAGGAAATATCACATTGCGCTCCTTTAACCGGCCAAGGGTGTACGCCCTCAGATGCGAGCCAGTCCGACCCTGTAGCGTGCATTTTACTGCACGCGGTTTTAGATTTTAGCACCTGAGTTGATTTCAGCTCGCACATATTAACCACTATTTGCACTCTGGCCTCGCATTTCAATTTAAACTGTTTAAGTAAATGTGGCAGTGCATTTTTTTCGTATGCTTTTTTCATTACCTAACTGATAACTGATATCAATTCATATACGGATAAACTTTAGGTAAACAAAGCTGACCTATTCATTATATGCACACTTACCTTAGCAGGCAGAAGAATTATCACATAGATCCCTAATGCCAAGGGAACACTGGAGAAGGATGTAACAGAGTTTTGTGTTAACATTATTGATTCTCATCCAACAACCCAGTTACGTTTTAATGTTGATAAAAATAAAACAAATGCAAGACGTAAGTCAGAAACATGCAATGTCGGGCTTAGTACGTGCTCTCTGGAAACCAAGCTCTACATTTTTCGGGACAGAAACATTTTTATTGTAGTGTCGTGCTTCTATTTGTCGAGTATGCTTGATCAGCCGTTTAAGTGCCACGACAGTTACAATTGGGTCAATTTAGTAACTTTCCAGTTTCCTGTGAGACATTATAGAGGAGCCCGGAAATGGGGAAACTGCGGTAGTCATAAAAACAACGTTAAGGGGAAATGGATGATGGATGATGGATGATGGAAGATGAATACTTCGAAGGTGCTGCTCGGTTAAGTAAGACGAACTGAGAGATGTGGTGTTTTTTTCAATCCCCCTTAAAAGTTTGTTTATCATGGGTATGAATCCATATTAGCTGGATAGAAAACTATTATTTTAAACGTGATCTTTAAATCGATTTTCCGCAAAATTTCTGGCGAACAAGACATCAATAAGAAATGCATCATACACAATGCCATTTCCAACTTTACGTCGCTATTTGTGATCTGTCCTTATACGGAACTACCATGCATCTTATTTTCTCCTCAACTATTTTCCGTTCTTTTTGGAAAAGAGAAAACTCCAAAAAGGTGGGTCTAGTAGTGTCTATTATCCCTGCCTTGCAGCATGAACCTGCAGGCTACTTTTAGTTTTCGCACTTAATTATTTCTGTATTTATTTTACCGATTTTTAAAAGTAGAATGACTTAATTAGAAAAGGTCGTCAAAAATACAAGAGTTTCAGTCTTTCATTTTTTTAATAAAAATTTTGATTGTACAGAGCATAGGTACACTCCCCTCCATGATAAAGTTTGACATTTAGTAAAATATATTGAATAAAAAGAAGACATTTACAAGTTTTTATGAGATTTGCTCCGATCGGTTTTTCTGATCCTCTATGTATTATTTTCTCTTTTTAACTTATTCACTTCTCATTCACTTTATCTTATTTTAATTCATTTATATTTATTTGCATTACAAGAAAATTTCAAGTTTACAATTTAAAATACATTTAAAATATTTGTCTGTATCTCTCGCGTGAAACAGACCCATTTTGTCCAGTGAGCTATCCTGGTGCCGAGGATGGGGGGAGGGGGGCGCCTCCACTCTATTATAGCTCTTCGATGCTCTATCTTTAGCTCTATCGATGCTCCTTACCCAGGAAAAGCAACTGGCACAGGCGGCGGAGCCAGAGGAGGTGTTGCAACAGCCGGCGGTATGATATTCGACGGTGGTAGAATAGAAGGACTGTAGAAGCAGTTGTTTGCAAGCACGAACTTCCTCACATTTCGGGGTTGGGTTTTGTTGACAAGGAGGTAGCACCTGCCAACGTGTTTGTCAAACTGAAAAGATAACGTTTCAATTAGCCGAGGTCATTGCACCACGCTAGAGAATTACTTCGACGTCCCACAGATTCTGAAATATTTTGTAGCGCTATTTTTAAGAAAAAAGTCACCGCTTTGAGAAAAGAAGAGTCGTGCTACCAGAAGGGCAGCAGTCGGTCATCTTTGCTCCGATTATTGAAATCCCCGCGACCCCCGCTCAGCCTACCGTTTCAAATTTCGCGGGGATTAGAGCGAAGTCCGGCCGCTCTCGCCCTACCTACGTTTCTCTGCCGTTTCAAATTTCGCGAGGAATTAGAGCCAAGTCCGCTTCGAAAAAGTGACTATACGTGATCTTAAGGCCTAGGTAGGTACACACGGCGATTAAACGCCATGTGTATCTAGGCCTTTACGGGAGGATCTGCCAGTTACCTCTCTGGCCTTGTCTCCACGAGCTGTTTCTCGAGATTTGTCCCAGGGAAAAATCCCACTTACGAAGTTGGGAAAAATATTGAGTTGATCAATATTTTTCCCAGCACCAAGTATGGTACTTGTATCCCTAGAACCCACTGAGAGAAGAAGAAGAAGTGGAAACGAATTGTGCGATATTTTATTCATTACTGCATTGTTCATGTTTGTTTAGTTAAAATAATGTGTCTAATTGTCAATTGAGTGCAATTATTATTTTAATCCCGGTTAAATACTCGACTATAACTAATTTATCTTCCCGCGCAAACGAGTCGTAGGACTGTAGAAGCCCCGTCCCGTGGAGACGGTAACTGGGAAAAATCCCAGAAGTTTCATTCCTGCGATTCGAACTTGGGACAAATCCCATGAAAACGTCCCGTGGAGACAAGGCCTCTGGCAGCTATTATTATATGGTCTCTTGTCTCAGGAGAAAACTCACCGCGAAGCACCTGCCGGGGCCGGGATCTGGGCAGTTGGGGAGGCCTCCCGGCCTGAGGAGGCTGTACGTCTTGATCCGCCGGGCGATATGCCTGCAGCCCACCTTGCGATGGTAGTTCGAGAGGGTGGGAATGAACTGGTTCTCCTTGTAATTCTTGCACGGGTTATCCTGGTAGATGAAGATCCCGTCGACAGTGAGGGGGGAGTCGATGACGTCGTCGCTGGGGTCGGTCGGTTCCACCTCCTCCGGCTCGTCGCCCTCCTCCTTGAGCCGCTTCCCGCGCTTTCCCTTGACCCTCTTCTGAGCCGCACGCACCCCCGCCGTGCTCGTCGGCAGCGTGAAGGGCTTCCACGAACTGGGCGCTTTCGGCGATCGCGATTTGGATTTCTTGTCCACTACGTTCCTCCCGGACGGCGGGCTCGTTACTGGGTTCGGGTTGGTGTCTGTCGCCTGTGTGTTCTGGGATGACACCCAGTCCTGGAAGAGGCAGCCAACGCATTAGTGGAGCCCATTAACAGAGCTATAGACAATGGAGACAAATAGGAGCTGGACGTATTTCTATCAAACAGATCGTCGGTATCTCAATTTCTTCATGAGACCCAGAAAGCATGGCGTTATGTGCAAAACAGGGCTCATACAGAAATTTAGATACGCCCTTACGTCAGAAGAGCAACGATATGTGGAGGTGAGAAATATGGGGTGTGCTCGTAAGTTCTCTGGCCGTAAGAGTGAATGAGAATAATAAAGCGCCAGTGACGTCAGCGGTAATGATCGAGCAAACGCGAGGAGGAGATGGTCGTCGGGGCGCTTTATCTTATGAGCCCTGTCCACAACGCTCTCGTGCCATCCCCGCGGCTCATGAATCCCGCATTCAGTTGGCACATTTAGTTCTCTTTGCTGAATTTAAAATCCCGCTTTTCCAATTCTTCAAAAGGAATCATGCCCACTGACCACATTGTTTCTTATCCAGCTTTCTAGAGCACACCCCTTATTTCTCACCTGCATATGGTTCTGTTTGATAGAGATACGTTCAACTGGAGCGATCCTATCGTTGGAGCCAGAGGCGGGCACCACTGGAAAAAAAAGTTCGGTCATGTACCAAAGTTCGGTGTTCCATATCATGTAAACTACCCTGGTAAAAATTGGCAGTAGAATCTGTGTTCCAAAATACCATAGACCTCCAGCCGGCTGTAAGATTTCCAATAGCTTCTATAGCCGGCTACACAATTTCTTATAGCCTTTTTAGCCGATGGCGATTAATCAACAGCCAGGCGATAAAGTGTATACTAAACGTTACTAATTACGGATGCTAGGACTTAGTGAGTTTTTGGAATACTGATCTTTTTTTGGGCCGTAGTATCTTGATTTATTTTGCGAGGAAAGCTCCGTACTTTTGATGGATGCCTGCCATTACTAATATTACTAATATATTAGAGCGCCTTCAGTTTCGTATGATACTGTGCAATACCTTTGGTGTGAAATAGTTGCTTCAAGCGCCGTGGCAGGCGGGCAGCCAGCGCGAAACACGCATTGGCGCCTGCAAACCTAACAGGGATACTTCACGCGTTGCGCAATGCGTGAAGTATCCCTGTTAGGTTTGTAGGCGCCAGTG